TAAAACATATCAAACAATTGTAGGAGTTATTCTGAAAAAAATAATCGCTAATGTAGTACTTCAATGTAACCGATTCAAATTAAACTTAGAACGTAATGCCAATCTGAAATTCTATAAAATTCTTAAAATGTATTTCACATCAAAAATTGAATTCTTAGTGAGGATCAATAAAAATTGAAACGATAGATGAAGTTTGTGACTTGTAAGGCTGAAAATAACATTTTCTAGCTTAATATTATTCACCTGATTGAGGTTTGAATAAGTGAGGTTTGTTTATTCAACCTTACCAGTGGAAGGGAAAATGCAAAATAATACACAAATGGCCATGTCAATTTCATTTTTGTGATTTTTATCTTACTTGATAGTGTGGCGAATCAATTTTCGTTTCTCACATACTACTTTTGTAGTATAAAGAAGCATTGTAATGCTACGACAAAAAATGGCGATTTTCTGACAAATAAAATTGTAATGTGAGGCCCTGATAGCGGAAGAATGGGTAAATCGTCCTTAATGTAGTAAATTACTTCCTGTAAAACACTGTGTAGTCAGGGCCAGGTTTGTGGGTTCTCTATACCGAAAAATTGGTTAATGACAAAACATGTTTGGAAAACACTAGCGCCTTAATCATCGTTCATACTTTTTCCAAAATTTATATTTCCTACTCGAATTGGCCGAACTCAAGGTCTTGCGAATTTGAAACGAATATTTTGATTTTGGGGGAGTAATATTCATAATGTCTTCCTATTTACATTTTCTTATAAATGGCTCCACATCTTGATAAATATTCATCAGAGCAAAATACTTTTAAGAACTGAGGCAGGCCACATTTTCATTGAACTATCTGTATTTTCGAAAATTGCAAAAAGTAACATTACAAATGTACTGTAAATCGATTGAATGTTTTTCGTTAATGAAACCAGTTCTTAAAAATTAGATATCTAAATAAGTCTGTAAATAATAATAATAATAATAATAATAATAATAATAATAATAATAATAATAATAATAATAATAAATATGAGCAAGTCTGGCGATCCTAAGATCCTAACAACCAATCGGCCTACCACATGTCTTCTCACAGTAAATAAGGTTACAGAAAGGGTGTTAAAGGTTTGAAAGTAATATGAATGTCTATTTTTAACAGGTAATAGATAGTTGTCAATCAAGCTAAGAAAAGACATTGCAACATTTCTGTAGGATAGATCGCCTATACTAAATCCTTCGACTGGATATTTCATTCGTGGTTTTTCATGTACTTCGCCTCTAAAAAGGGGAACACACAGTATGTCGACTTAATCCAACTCTGCATGGCAACTGGCCGTACAAAGATAAGTCTCATTTGCTGGAGGTAGCTATACCACCAGAGAAGTGAGGATCAAACGAGGAATTTTTCAGGGAGCCTTAGTCCCTTTGTTTCCCCCTAGTTCTGAACCCTCTCAGCAATTAAAGAGATTCGGGAATTGGAAATAAAATCACCGACGCCAGAGATAAAATGAAGCTTACCTCGTTCCTTGAACTTCTCGTTGCTTGAAATTCTAAAATCCTTCAACGACTCTATTTGTTTGGACTTTGGCATTGATAAATGCACTGCTGTACGCGTAAAGACGGGGAAACTTATTGATCTTGACAAACTCCCTCTGATGTTGGCACAAATAACCAAGAACTTGGGTAAGACTAAACCTATGAATATTTTGGCCTACATTATCTATAGAACACAAGTGAAGCAAAGATGAGGGGTGATATTCAGAATAAAGTATTGCAAAGAGTAGCAAATACCAGTAAACTCTTTTTAATGGAAAGAACCTCATATCAGCCATCAACACTTTGGCAGTACTTCTGGCTGTATGTACATTTGCTTTCCACTGGTCAACTGCTCTGCTAGAGCATAACCGAAAGTTTAGGACCACTTTTACCAAGTACTGTATGCATATTCCAACAGTTCAATGGCAAGACTACTTACCTCGATACGAAGGAGGTAGAAGTCTTCTGGATTTGGGGACCTTGTGCTCGAAACAAATCAACAATTTTCGCAAATACGTCAAAAAATTCTTTTGTGCATAAACAAATTCTGCCACAGACAAAACTTTTACCTCATTGAACCTGAATCAAGCTGACTTTGAGAGACCAAGTATCTGCTTTGAGAGACCAAGGCTCTGGTGACACTCACATTTTTTCTAAAAAGAAGCTCGAAATGCCCCCTCGATAGAGGAAAGAGACGCTTTAAAAATGGCGCAGGTCACATTCTCGCGTTGAACATTCTGAATTTTCGAAAATCGCAAAAGTTTCTAAACTATTCTCTATTGTATTCGTATACTATTTTCTATTTTAGCATCACAAGTTCCAACTTATTAATCCTACATTAATCTCTAGGGTTCATTTTTTAGTTCATTCGTCAGGAAATATCACAATGTATATCTTTTTTTTAAAAGTATATTTATGTTACGTCGCATCAACTACAAAAGTATAAAGTTGTTATTATTTCACTCAAAGTGACGGGAAAACTCGTATTTTCAATTTTTTTACATGACATTTTGAAGAAATATTTCATTAAGAAAATAGTTACGTAACTAGTATAGAAAGTTAGTCTTTGGATTAAAAATTAGTTGTTTGCGGATGAGGCGAGTGTAGGAGGCTACTCCAGCATTCTGAAGTACGCCAATAACACTTTCGTAAAAGTTGCTTTCATTAGAGTTTCTCGCATACTACTTACGTAGTATATAGAGAGTATTGTAATATCGCGGCAAAACAGCAATTTTACTGCACAAAATCTGGTGTTTTAGGGCTCTGATTTCGAAAAAAAAGGGTAGATCGTGTTCCTAAATAGTCAGTTACTTTAACACGCCCATGTTACGAATCCACGTTTTCTGTGACCGCACAATTTGTTGACTATTAAACGTCTAACTTTCGAAGAATTGACTGCCTCAGCCGAAATCGAACTCTGATCTCTCTGTATACCACCAGTCACACGAACCACTTGTACCGAGACAGTCAAAACATAGTCTATTAAAGTTACATAATGCTTACGTAGCTATGGTGATGCAGTAATAGTTGAAAAATGCGAAACGGGTCGCGTTTTCCCATGTAATTCTTAAATTTTCAACTGTGACCAGGTGGTGAAATATTATTATTATTATTACTATTATTATTATTATTGTCATCATCATTGTTTTGTATTATTCATTATCAGGGAATATTATTTTTGTTGAACTGAATTTTTGGTGGTATTTTCGGAGTACGGTTTCGACGCTAGTGTTATTGACAAACGATGTAAAAAAAAAAAAAAATCGGAAACTGGGATTCCCCATAAAATGTATTTCTGTCAAAATCTCGACATTTATTTTTTGCATCATTTTGTAACTTCATTTACACTACGCATGTACTCTTTATATCGTTAGTGCACGTGAACCTCATTTAATTCTTTTTCGTGTTTTCTAGTTATTTACAAAAATTCAATTTGTTTGTTCTGGTGATTAGCGAAATCGCTGAAGTTCTGGTATTTGGACATGCTAAATTATCGATTATTAGTATTTTTCATAAGTCACAGAAAACTCCGATGCCACGTATTAAAAAAAAAATGTAATTTCCTAGTAGCCTAATTCTCTGTAGTAACAAGTTATCCTCTGTATAATACTTTATAAATAACTTTAAATCAACAAATAAAAATTAATTGTAAATTCAGCTATGTGAAAAATTATAAGAAAACATCAAGTTGGCAGGCCTCGAAACATATATTTTCGCATTCTCCCAATCCTAGGTCTGCCGCTGTTAAAGCAATGTAAAGTGTGTGTTAAAGAAAGCAGGTTTTATCGCCCATCGAGCACAAAGATTTTTTGTTGAGAAGTATTACCGCGACAACTTCAACTTGATATTTTGAAACACGGTTTTTGGACTTTGCAAGTTTCACTCTTATACCGATGATAATCGAGAGATAAAAAGTAGAGAGTAGGAAGAAATTGGAAGAAAAATTGTTGGAGAATTTGTCTGTACATAAAAAAGTAAAAAGGCTGAATGGGTCGTAATGATTGCATCAACCTTTGAGTTTTTACACAGCAGTTAAATTATACGGATTTTATACAGAATGTGTTTGGACAAATTGTTCGGAGTTGTATGTATCAAAAGATCGTATAAGTTTTGTAGACAATGTAATGTTCAAAATAAACTTACTTTAAAGAGAAATATTTATATACTTACCCAATTTATAAATTCTTGATATTCAATGTTTTATTTCTCAATGTATCTGGGCCTTCGTGAGGTAATAATATCGTGACATAAACGTGTAAAGTTTAGTGTTATTTGATGACATGGCCGGCGATGCTTATGAGTTACTGACACGATTTGCCAAGTTATTTCAGTCTTAGTAAGGAGGGGACATGTAACTCGAATTTATTTGATGGAACACATATATGATAGCGATTAAGAATGATTTCATATAGCAAGTTCAAATAATACTTATGTACTCATACGAAATGTAATTTTTTTAGCATTAACATTCTTGAAGATTCTATCTAAACATAGTTCGGGTGAAGGGTTTGTATGCCTTCTCAGGTTATCCCATCTTAATTATTTTGGGGAGCACTTTTTGAGTCAGAATCTGTCTTTCACTCATGGTATTATTTTATTTTTGTATAAATAAAGTAAATGTTTTGAAATTTCGAACAGCACGCTCGAAAAGTAACGTAACGTAAGGAGAGATGTTGCAGACCGTAATGGTGTCATTTCGTTTTTAGTCAGCAGAATTGAGTGATGTACTCTGTCTGTTATACAAATGACTGGAGGGGGGAGCTTAACTTAAGAATCCTACGTTTCGAACTTACCTTTTTTTATAGAGATTATGACTGCTACGGTTCACGGAGGCTGCACACCGGCTGTTACGATGAGATGAGGTCGTGGATGTGGCGTCATAAATTTGTGACGAGTAATTGTGAGTATGTGGTCTAGTTCAATTTATTTGGCTGTATAAAGTTTATTCAATATTCTTTGACATGATGCTTTTATTGCAGATGTTAAAATGCAAGATGTGCTGTAACACTGAACCAACCAATGTGATCCTAGAAATGTGATGGCCATATTCCTGAAGATCTCTTTAATTATCAGCTTCTGTCAAAGGGAGTTCAGGGAATGGCAGCATTCATTCCTCCATCTACGCTGCTCAATGCTGAAATAATTTCAAGTGGATTGTTTACTCTTTTTTTCTCTCTTCGCTACATGTGCATTTAAGTGAAAGAGGTGAAGTCTCATTGAAAAAAGTGTGCATTCAACAAAAAGTATCACTAGGCTTAAGAAATAAGTGTTATTATATACATAATGTACTAAGCAGCTTCAGCATATCAAAATTCATTACACATTGCCTATGTATGAAGTGAGCGACTTCATTTGTCTGACAAGTGCAATATTTTATGAAATGCAGTAATATTTTAATTATATTTATTTATATATTGATTTCTTTATACATATTGTATATTGGTTTATTTACAAATTGCTTTATTTCTTGATTTGTATATATTAAATTATGTATTGAATTATTTATTGATTTATTTGTTAACACTAAGAAAGTAACTGATAGAAAGAGAGAGGCTACGTATGTTAGACAGTAGATTGCGAATGTAATTAACAATTTATTTGATTAATAAGGAAACAGATTTTACATTGAAGCTTGTTATATATCTAGTGTTGTTGCTTGTAATTAACAATCTCAATAACTTCAAAATTAAGTATTAATTATATTTCTATTTAATCCAATTACTTACTCAGAACCAGTCATACTGCCAATTATGAATTTTATTTCTTATTCTGCACTTCATTTCAAATGATAATCTCTTACATTGTGTAACTGACCTGCATATTCATTTTTTGAATATGGTATTGACTAGGCTGAGATTTAGTTTTAGTCTAATTATTTGCTGTAAAGTCATAATCTGTCCTGAAACGTTTCATTTAAAGGATATGTTAAATTACTGAAAAATTTTACGAATTCTAATGACGTGTTGATGCATTTTGATTTGAAAATCAAATTACAGAACGTCCTGGGTGGTTAGATACATTTTCATATTTCAGTGCATTAGTGATTTTTTATATTCAGGCGTAATGAAACGGATTTGCAATAACTAACAATGGTTGTTTCAGCAAAAGCCAGCTCCATTTGAGACTCGTTGAATTCAAAATATATAATGATTTATAATTATCCCACTTGCTACTAATTTCTGGTAATTGCTGTTGAACATAACTCGTGCATCGATTGTTACTTGTGCCAGGTCCTCATGTGAACGTAAAACTATGAATCTCATAGATAAAATTCTTCTGAAGTCATGCTGGTAGAGTATCCAACTGTTTATTTTCTAGGTCGTAATGTTCATAGAATATTTTACTTAACACAATCATTCTTGCGCTTTCATAAAAACTTGTCATTCACAATAAAACAATTTTTAGAGTGGGTGCAACATATTATTGGTTCAGAATGTGTTTAAATTTTCTATCATTTAATGTGTAATACTTAAAATATTGATAGCTGAGATCGCAAAAAGACTAAAAGTATTGTAAACAAATGTTTTTCTCTAAAGTGCGAAAATACCAATAACTTGTTTTTATTATACTTGCAACATTTCACATTTCGAACAACACACCAAACTCACATTAAAGCCTTGTGGCAAAATTAACTCACAAAATACTGTGATTGTTCTGAATGCTTTGAAAACGGCTTCCACATTTGCAATGAATTCATATACTTTTCCGTTTATTAATGACTAATTCTAGCATTGTGAATATGAAATATTGTTTCCTCTGTTTTGCAGCGGTTTCTAAACCTTGAGCTGAAGAGCAATTTATATTTTTCTGTCTTTTATGCTTTTTGGGTTTTCACCATTGATGGACCTGTTGAAAATCTGGTATTATTAGAACTATTTTTTATTCTTAATTTACTATATTTACTGGTGATGTAGTTCTCTACTCCCGTCGCTTAACGAGAACCGAGGCAACTGAATATGCTCACAAAAATTTTTTCCTGCGTTAAAAGTCCAATGGTGGAACACACGAGCTCACAATAATAGCTTATGTCGGTGGAAGAACACATTTATGTGTGGTTTCGTAGCATCTGCACCTCTTAGCTAGTGGTAACTAGATGGGATGAGTTCTTACAGGACGCCATTCCGCTTTGCTATAGAGAATGATTTGCATTGTGGCCTCTTTATCCGTTGTAACGCTAGGAACGTGCGAAGTTAGTCATGTTCAATACTTACTCAAGGGCAATCATTCGTATGGTCGCCGATTTTACCAAAATCCATGTTCACAGTTTATTCTTTATGAAAGTTTCCGAGACAATCCTGGTATCTGCCCGAAAGATTTTGTGTCACCCAGACGTCTGGCCTCCAGGATGAGGCCAATCAAAAGCTCATATATTACGTTTCCTTCTTAGACTCATAGTCGTTGATTCAGGTGAATCTGCACATGTGCTTAGAATTTAGC